ACCCTAAGCGACATAGATTCCTAATGAACGAGTAAATATAAGTAAAGAGTTAACTAGAATAATCGAATGTCAGAATAATTAGAGACCGACAAACAACCAATTTGCCTTTCAACCTAAATTCGAGGTCATACTAAAATGGAGTCAGATTAGATAATAAAATGGAGTCAGATTTGAGTTAAATCTAAATTGAATAACTCTGCGCGCTGAAAAGACCGAACACGCAAGAGACCTTCATCCACTACTGGATACCTTCCTTGGGCCAAGTGCATGGACCTTACAGAAGTCTTGATCAGTGGAGCTCCGATATTATGATTCACCATGGCAACAGCACGAACAAAAAGACGTCTGCATACTTTGAGTCAATAAATAACTTTAATTCTTAATCACTGTTATAATATCAGAGGTGAAAGCTGGCAGAACGGTAGGTTATTGAACTAATATTAATTTTCATGCATCCCATGGGCGAAAAAAAAAGAACGTGACAGCAGCTAAAAATGAAGTATAAAAACAATTCAATCAGGTAAAGCTTTAAGCATAAAATGTTCATGGGTGCAGGCTACATGACTTCACAAACATTTGATATATTAAATACATTTCATTCAGTGTCTATTTCAATGTGCAGCAGCTTTTTTTCCACATACTCTAATCATTTCACATAATTAAAGATTCTCTAATCCAACTTGTTACATTTCTTAATTAGAGTAATGAAATTAACATTTGACTTTTACTCCGTCAACAGCAAGAACGCTCACAAAATAATGAAGAACAGATGAAGAGGAGATGGCTACAAGTCAATCAGGTAAAGTATTTGTATTTGTAGGAAATAAAGATGACCAAATAAATTGTGCATAATTTGTGTTTATGTAACAGCTGTGGTGGTGGTTACAGCATATGTCTCGGACTACACTTCCATCTGGCATCCTTCCATTCCATATCGGTTTCATTTTCAGGTGCGATGATGGGAATATGCGTGTCATCAATGCATCCTTAAAGATTCTCTAATCCAACTTGTTACATTTCTTAATTAGAGTAATGAAATTAACATTTGACTTTTACTCCGTCAACAGCAA